AATCAACTGATACGTTTGTATTTTATCGATTTGAATACATTTGTCTACCTACTTATAAACACATACACACACGTATATATACATATACAAACGGCAATAGAAGTTCTTATAATACTTTCATGCTTCATGTACATATTTAAATCGTGTGTTATTTCCCATGTAGACTAGTCTTTGCCACTCCTATTGTCTTATTCCTGTGAACACTTGAAATCTTTCTATTTGGCTATACACACTAAACTCTTATTCTAAAAGTAAAACGTATTTCGAGAAGTATGTTCAAATTATGTTTTGCAACAAATGAAAACAAAAATAAGAAGTAAGTTACTTTAAAATCACTATGCATCTTGTATGGTTAATGCCAATTATATGATAAAGGTGAACAGATGTTACTTTTAGAATGTCATAACTCTCATCGATACGAAAATGGCGGATTTTGACATGAATATTAAACGTTTAATTTAAGATATCCAAAGATATCTAAAGATATCCAAATTTTACTGCGTTTACTTTTTCATAAAAATCATTGTTTTCAAACCGAATATTTGTCTTTATATTTAACTATAATTATATATAGAGTGATTTATGCTTATATAATTATTTATACTTTATCACACATTTTATGCAAGAGACATAGTATGGTTAAGAAATTTCTGATAATTTTATTGTAAATATAATTTTAATCTCTAAATAACATTCATACATACAATAAAATATCTTTAAAATTACCCTTTTCTTGTTGGAACAGTAATTTTACTATATGTTTAGAATTATGACTAATTTAGCTTAAAACAGAAGCTAGAAATAAAAAGCCTAAAATATAAAAACCATAGTTAAAAATCATACATTTGATATGAATATTCTAAAACATTATTATTTAAACTTAAAATAACAGGATAACAATTTATGTAACTAATGGCTAGAGTTTTGGGTGTGTATTCGTCCTCTGAAGGTTGCGCCTATTTTCTGAAATAATGGCGTAATTAGAGATGCACGTAAAAGCTGAAAAATTAACTACATAAACCAAGTCTTCTTTTTTTTTTAACAAACAGTAAAACGTTGAAACAACTGGTAAAATATGTTAAAGTTGGCGTTTGAAATCATCTAGAATATTTTAATAAATCCCACCTTTCATTGTATTGGAATCTACTGCAAAATTTATGAAGAAATCCTTTAAAGACCATTGTAATAGTGCAAAGCAATAGAATTAAACATAGGTAAAATATAAGAAGCTAGCATAAACTCTCTACATAAGTTAGGTCTAACGACCTAAGTTTTTCCAATGTCATGGGGTTAACTATACTTTAAAAACAAAACGGGCCCGGCATTGCCAAGTGGTTAGGGCACTCGACTCGCAATTTGCGGGTCGCGGGTTCGAATGCCCGTCTCACTGAACATGCTCGCCCTTTCAGCCGTAGGGGGTGTTATAATGTGATGGTCAATCCCTCTATTCGTTGGTAAAAGAGTAGCCCAAGAGTTGGCGGTGGGTGCTGATGACTAGCTGCCTTCCCTCTAGTCTTACACTGCTAAATTAGGGACGGCTAGCGCAGATAGCCGTCGTGTAGCTTTGCGTGAAATTCATAAAAACAAACAAACAAAAATTAAGCCTAAATCAAGAAACATGTACAAGTTACTCGTCATCCAAGTAACTTAATTCACTGAAGTTTCGACCCCTTAAATTTAGTGCCACTCATGAAGGCGGATTTCTCGGATAAGATTTTATTATGGACGTGAGAACTAACAAAAACTAAATAAACCAAATTAAAATGAGTAATTTCCAATATGAACTTCCTTATAGAGGCCATTAAACGTAGTTAAACTTAGTTTTAAACTTTATCTGTATTTTCATTTACGCAGAAAATTAAGTATTAATTTGTAGAAATTTACAAGTAAGTCTACACTATCGGCATTATATTCCTTAAGCATTCGCTTGATAAGTAGTTTTCCCATGTAAAGAAATGAACTTTATCATAGTTTTGTTTTTATCTTTTAGTATTTGAAGTTAACTTCGCATTTGCAGTTTTCGACGTCTTGACAAATAAATAGTATTTTGACATTTTACCACACATTTTCAATCAAGATGATTTGAAACTTGAATGAAATAATATTTTTGTCTATAGAGAATTGTTAGAGAATAAAGGATTCGATAGACAACAGAAGTATAAAATTACACATATACAGTATGTCGATACACATACAGGTGTAATAATCCTTTTTTCCTTTTGTTTCTCTACACAGTTATTGCATTTGTGTAAGAAATAAATCAAACTTTTATATGTATAATTTAAACATAAAATCATGTTTTAGTACTCTGTTCTATGACAAAATACAAACAAATGGTAATATGTGTGATATATACAGAGTGCATCAATAATATCAGTTAATATAAAATTGGTGGCACGTGAACATGGTACACCACATTTAAATTATACACAAAATAAAACGTAATAGAAATTGATCAGTGTTGACTTACAGCACAAATATAAGGAAAGGTTTTCTCACTCGTCAAACCACTGTCGAGGCCCAGCAGAATAACACTGGTATAAGTTAACATACAGCCAATAATTATGATGTTATTCAGGTAAGGACTGGACATCTTGATGTACCTAAAACAAATATATATATAAACTGGTTAAAAGTACCTTACTTTTATATTTCCGTATGAATGACGTCAGAATACATACAATCCTTAGATAATATTTTCTAACACCTAATAAATTAGCTTCTAGCCTACATTATAGTCCTTAAACACACAAATACACACACACACA